CACTGCTTTCCCCCCATTGAGGCTCCAAATGGTGGACCAGAATCTCCTCGAAGCCGTACGGAAGTCTTGCTCCACGGCCTCACCGAACTCCTCCCATGCCCGGGTTTTTGCCTTGGCGACCACCCGAGCTGCGTTCCGCTTAGACTGCTGGTACCAGTCAGCTGCCTCTGGAGTCCCACAGGCCAAAAATACCTTATAGGACTCTTTCTTCAGCTTGACAGCATCCCTAACCGCCAGTGTCCACCAGCGGGTTTGGGGGTTGCCACCACGACAGGCACCAACAATCCTGCGACCACAGCTCCGGTTGGCCGCCTCAACAATGGAGGCACGGAACAGGGTCCATTCAGACTCAATGTGCCCCGCCTCCCTCGGAACATTTGGGAAGTTCTGCCGGAGGTGGGAATTGAAGCTCCTTCTGACAGGACTCTGCCAGACGTTCCCAGCAGACCCTTGCAATACGTTTGGGCCTGCTTGGTCTGACCGGCATCCTCCCCCACCATCTGAGCCAACTTACCACCAGGTAGTGGTCAGTTGACACCTCCGCCCCTCTCTTCACCCGAGTGTCCAAGACATGCGGCCGCAGGTCAGATGAAATAACAACAAAGTCGATCACCGAGCTGCGGCCTAAGGTATCCTGGTGCCCAGAGCACATATGGACACCTTTATGTCTGAACATGGTGTTCATTATGGACAATCCATGACTGGCACAGAAGTCCAATAACAAAACACCACTCAAATTCAGATCAGGGGGGCCGTTCCTCCCAACCACACCTCTCCAGGTCTCACTGTTGTTGCCCACGTGAGCGTTAAAGTCCCCCAGCAGAACGAGGGAGTCACCGGAAGGAGCGCTTTCCAGCACCCCCTCCAAGGTCTCCAAAAAGGGTGGGTAGTCTGAACTGTAGTTTGGTGCATAAGCACAGACCACAGTCAGAACCCGTCCCCCCACACGTAGGAGGACGGAGGCTACCCTCCCAATCCCCGGGGTAAACCCCAACGTACAGGCACCAAGATGGGGGCAACTAGTATGCCCACCCCTGCTCGGTGCCTCTTAGTGGGAGCAACTCCAGAGTGGTAGAAAGTCCAACCCCTCTCAAGGAAACTGGTTCCAGAGTCAGAGACGTGCGTTGAGGTGAGTCCGACTATATCTAGTCGGAACCTCTCAACCTCACACACCAACTCAGGCCCCTTCCCCACCAGAGAGGTGACATTCCATGTGCTAAGAGCCAGCTTCTGTAGCCGAGGATCAGACCGCCAAGGTCCCCACCCTCGACTACCACCCGTCACACACTGCACCCGACCCCTTTGGCCCTTCCCACGAGTGGTGTGCCCATGGGAAGGGGGACCCACGTTTCTTCTTTGGGCTGTGCCCGGCCGGGCTCCATGGGTGAAAGCCCGGCCACCAGACGCTCGCCAACATGCCCCACCTCCAGGCCTGGCTCCAGAGGGGGGCCCCGGTGATCCACGTCCGGGCGAGGGAACACGGTTTCCATTTATATAATTCATCATAAGAGGTCTTTGGGATTTCTATTTTTTTATTTTCCAATAATCAATTACACAACGACGGAAACCTACATGCACGGCACAAAGACGGCGTTAGGCTGCACTGCACAATGAACATGACTCAGTCTGAATGAACCCAGCAGGATCAATCGGTGTGGTTCAAATAAATGGAGGGATTTTCTCTGCAGACTGGGAATTAAGCTCTCAGTCAATGCTCAGTGTGCGTGTGTGCTAAGCGATGAGTCCACAGTCATAATTATCCCCTTGTGGTGGCTATAAAGCTTTATTTTAGGGAGTTTTTATGTGCAATAGACACATAGACAACGAAATACTGGCTCTTCATAGGTGGTTGCTTGTGCTTGCACACGTGTGAAAGTCTATCTGCAGAAAAAGAAAAACAAGACGAGCCATAAATCCTGCGGTCGTAAATCTAATCCTGCAACATTGACAAATGCTTGATGAAGATGTCACTGAAACTTAGATAAAGTGTGCATTGGTCCAGCGGTGAGGAGAAGCCATTGTACCCAAGCTTAAGTGAAGAGACGAGGAACTGATCCATGTTTATCCTTGAGGAACACGGCCATTATAGAAAGACTATATGGTGCACCTTAAACAGGATAAATCTGTGGTCAGATCTGGAGAATGCATGACAGAGTGAGATATCCTGTATCATAATCAGTGATGTGTGTGCGTGCGTATTAAATACATCACTGCAGCTTGCCTTTTTCTTTTCCTTGGAGTATTCCATCCAGTTTTCCCTGCACAAGTAATATCATCACAGATAATGCACACGTGTTATTTCTAGATAAAGACCTCATGCATCTGCTGGCTTGACAGAAACACGATGGAATGCCGGCGATGAGAAACACGTGTGGAGGTGAGGTGTGTGTTGCTTGTTGGAAGCCAAACCTCAGAAGGAATTCATTTCCTCACGGAGAGCCATGTGGATTTGCTCCCTCTCTATCTGAAAAAGCCGTGCAACCACCTAGAGCCACTTGTTCTGCTAATAACACATTCCCTCTATGTCATCAGCATGGAGCAGCACTTTAAATCAAAATAAGATACTTGGCTTTTCCCCCCTTTGGGTTTTAAGATTGAGTATAAACATAAAGCCCGCAAAACAAGTCAAGTTTATTAGGAAGGACTGAGGAGACATAAAAGGACCAAAATAAGACATTTTAGAATGTGCACAAACCCAGAAATGAGAAGAAATTAATGAAAAAAACCTTTTTAGGGTTCAGTTATTCAAAATATCAATAAATGCACCAAGCAGCACATTTTTTACAATACGTTTGATAATGTGTGTTGATACTAAATGACCTTCTACAGAAAAGAATGATGACCTCCAGACAAACGTGCAGTGTTTTCACCCTTTGGGGAAATAAATGGTCAATATCCTGTGATCCAGACTGAAACTTCTCTACTATGGATTATTTTAGGACACATCCCTGAAGGGTGAGTTTAATCTAAGTTGTTGTTTTTTGTTAAAATGTAGAATCAAAAATCAAGAAAACTTTAAAGATCTATCCAGGTAAGTAGATATAACCTTGATAGCAGATTACCTTAACTGGGTTATGTACTCGCAAAAGACCCGGTAGAGTTGCTGTGCAAGAGCTATGATAAACTCAAGCTGATTGGTCGTAACTCAATGCAAACGATATTGTGAAACGTGGCCAATCAACCGAGATTTGTAACATTGGGAAAAGTGTTGGTGAAGCAGAATGGAAGGAAATAAAATTAGCAGTGTTGACGCTGCTTTAAGTTACTTTAAACTTTAAGCTAGAGCTTTAACATTGACCTCAGCGATTGTTGCGTTAGAAACTTGTCTAGTTTTATATACACTCTGCCACCCTCTACTGACCAAAAACTGCACTAGATACTTTTGCGGAGCGGGTAGGTGCTCTATAGGGTGCACTTTTTACCTGCTTTACGGCTGTTAGCTCTTATACTATCAGTTAGCTTTTTCAGTTTGCTGGTCATCAATAAAAATCCCAAGAACAAGAAAATAAAGTTTGGCATCTTGGTAGAACCTGGAAGGTGAAGCAAATCGGTAAAACCGGAGTGAACATTAGCACGGCCTACACTAGTGTGAGGGAGCTAAAGGGGACTACAAAATCATGGACTGATGGTGACCTGGCTTTGTTGCTGCTGGACTTGTACGTAATAATATTTTTTAGGGATGAGCCGGATACTCGTTTCAGACGAGTATCCGGTACAGATAAAGCATTTTTGACGAGTACGAGCATGAAACGAGTAAAACTCGTAAATATCTGTAATCGTGCTGAAGGAAAATCCTCATTGGGTAACTGACTGTCTTCCCGCTCTGTGATTGGCCAGTCAAATTGAGCCCCCGCCCCTTCCTAAACCAAAAACTGCAGCCGGGAGCTCACAGCTCAGTCCGCGTCTGGTCCATCCACGCACGCACACGGACAGTAACGGAGCTCTCTGTGCTTGCTTCACTGTTCACGTTTCTTCAGAACTCCCTATGTTTTCTTCGGTTTGCTTCTTTTTAAAGTTACTTAAAAGTTATTTAAAGTTACTTTTTTCATAACATACGTGGTGCATTCGACAAGACAGAGCTGAAAACAGCTCGTGCTCCGTCAGTCACTGCCTTCTCTCCGGTCGGGTTTTTTTCCTCTCTCTCTCTCTCTCTCTCTCTCTCCTCTTCCTCAAGATCCACTCCCTCTTTCCTATTCACTTTCTCTCTTTCTTTACATTTTTTAATCACAATTGTCTATTTTTTTGCTCATTTTAAATATATTTTAATCATTTTCTAAATTATTTTTTCTATTTTACATGTTTTGTTTTTGTGAAGCGCCCCGTGATTTTTATCTTGAGAGGCGCTATAGAAAAGATCTCTTCTCTCTCTCTCTTAATTCATGCACTGAAATATTAATGTTCTGATTTTATTGAAAAACTTGTTCTGTAATAGTTCCTTTACTATTGTGATCAAAAACATTTAATCTCAACTCTGAGGCTGCTCTGTAAATAGTTTTCAAATAAACAATGAACATAGCAACTTCTGATCAATTTAAAATGTATTGATGTAAACCACACCCACTTCCGGGTTAGGCCACGCCCACTCCGAGTACAGATACAGATACAGATAATTTAGATGGTTGAACAGATACAGATACAGATAGTGGTGTACTCGCTCATCCCTAATATTTTTTGTTCAACAGCGTGGGTCTTTTTACTTCGTAGCTTATTTTAGTATTAGGTGGCTCGTGTTAGTGTTAGCTTGTGTTTAGCACTAGCTACAGCAGGCTGCAGCAGGGTTGTTTACAACACGTGTTTAGGTGTGCCAGAAACACCCGGATGATTTTGTAAGAAGACACAATGACTGAGAGGACCAAGCCAGCATAATTCCCCTGAACACCCCCCCCCCCCCCCCCCAAAAAAAAAAAAAAGATTGATGGCATTTTAGACGGTCGCTCTTTCATGGAGATGTTTTCTGTTCAAAGCTGCAAAAAGAAAAGAAAAAGAAACAGGTGTGTTACCTGGAAGTCTGGGTTGGGATTGGGATATGGCAGCCAGGCGGAGCGCGAGTTCTCCTGGAACTTGAAGGGTCCGTTGAAAACCTGCGATATGGCACTGAGATTGAAGGCACACACCGCAGAGGCAGCAATGCTGTTCCTGATTGTTGGGAAGGGAAAAAAAAAAAGATAGACGCACAGAAAAATGGGAAAAGAAGGAAAAGTAAGAAATAGACTCAAATAAACACGAACACAATCAAATCCACAAATCTTCACCACAGCAGAGAAGCAAACTAATCAGACTCTTGTGCATTTGTTACGATCACATTGGGATTTTCACACCAGCATTACAAATCTAACACTGGATAGACACACACAAACACACACCAGTGTACACGAATGTCATTATTAGATTATAAATCAGCAATTGGAGACAATTAAGCTGCTTGGCTTGTGTGATTTACCGTATAGATCTCAGAGCTGAAATACAGCTTTGACTTTTTAAGCTGTCAGTTTCAACAAGTACTGGTCGCCTCTCTCGTAAGAGAAAGTAAAGAATGAGAGTATTAACTCTCAACTCAAACTGTGAGACTCGGGTGATGTGAATTATAATCTAGTGCAGCTGTTCATTAAACTCTGTGCCTGCAGGGGGAAATGCTTCCAAAACCCTTCAAAAGACTTTTTTTCAGCCATGTGAAGGCACTGACCATAAAGAATTGATTACTCAGCTTTAAAAAATGGTCTGTGTGTGCAAGTGTGTGTGTGTGTGTGTGTGTGTGTGTGTGTGTGTGTGTGTGTGTGTGTGTGTGTGTGTGTGTGTGTGTGTGTGTGTGTGTGTGTGTTAAAGGAAAGAGAAAGAGAGGGAAACAAACAAAAAAAATCTTGTTATATTAATAGTCCCAGCAGTTATTTTGAGTAATAGCTCTCATTAAATCCTTGTTTACATGATACAGTAAAGAGAGTAATATTTATGGTTTATCATTGTGAAAGAGACTATATTATAATTTAAAGTTATTTAGGGAACATGTGGAGAGAAACTTTGAGAAATGGATGAGTGACCTCGTCATTTTCCTATTACTTGTGCATTTATGTGATCTTTTAAAAAAAATTATATGTTTGAATACATTTTCTGGCAGACTGTGCTCGTCATTACCATTTAAAATAAAACTGAAGTTCTTTGCTGCTATCAGGATGACAGCCTGTGTGTCTGTGTTTGAAATGTGCATGCAGCACAAATGTATTATCTTTAGGATTTTCTTTAGAAATGTGCAAAGAATGAATGATTCCTGTTTTGGTTTGCTGTTTTGGCACAATTCGGTCCTAAAAGTATCCTAGAACGTTTTTTGTTTACATAAGGAACCTGTTCTTTGAGCCTCTATTTATCATGTGATATTTTGTTGGGGCTCAAAATGGCCCGGGAGCCCTGAAAAAAGGCCAAACAATCCCCACAATAAAGCGTACCAACATGGAAAGACTAAAATCAGAAGAGATTTATTGCCATACAAGCAAGAATCACAACATTACTTTGAAGTTGCAAGTGCGGTGTTCTGGCCACAGAGGGTGGTGGGGGTCTGAGGGACATTTTCTTTAACCCTGTAAAGGGTCATTTAAGCACATATTGGTGAATGTGGCTTTAAATTCTAGGACACCTTTAAACTGAACGTTTTGTGGGCAGAAACCCAGTTTCAGGTATTCAAATGATGTCTATATTTAGCCAAAACTGGAAATAAGAAAATAAATGTGGCTGGTTCATCACATCAGCAATTCTCAAGACAAAACTTGAAAACTATAATCAAAGATCGTCAATTAAATGGGAAAATGTGAGTTACCAGCACACAACCAACAGGATCTGACACATTTAATGAAAGGTTTTAGTTTTTAATCTTCCAGTAAAAGTTAAATGTCTGAATATTTTCTTCATTATAACCATCATGTCTGTGTTTTAAACTCTAAATTAGAACAGTCGTGTTTTTATTTTCCATAAAACGAAGACATTTTCAGTCAGTGTCTAAATCCCAGTGAGCGCTTTTTAAAAAAGAAAACATTTCTGCATGACATTAGAAAATGGAGCTAAAAGAGAGCGAACTATTTTTGGACTAAATGTTGTACATGATTTTTGATTAAAGAGACAGTGTGTCGTTTTTACCAATAATCTCTGGAAATATCCATTAAAACATTGTTGAAAATTAATAAAATTAAGTCTAGTTGCTGAAAAATACTGGCGGCTTCGTACCATCGGGTCTAAAGTACATAGGCAGCGAGTCTAGCATTTTTGGGAGATGCCATGTTTCCGTCTGGCTGGCTCGAGGCCTGCACCTGTTGATGATGTCACACTAAATGATTGGCTGGACGTATGACTTACGGAAGTTACGTTATCACGTTTCAAAGCATTCAGGCAGTGAGAAACACACATTTATTAACAAAACTCCTAAACTCTTTCCAAAAACAAAAAGAACAGATTTAAAAAAAGAGATGCAATATATTTTTGACTGAGCGGTATTGCCGTAGTATGATGACATTGCTGGCAGGCACAGGATCCTGAGCAGATTCGGAAACTACAACGCCAGAAAACTACAATCAGAGTTGCATTCTCCTCATGGAATTAACTGAAGGATCATCAAAGTCTGAGTAATCATGTCAAGCTTTCTGCTCCACAGGTAACAACATTTACCGTAACGGTTTTTTAAACTAGCGACAGTCACGGCGGTGAAAAACTACCCTGAAATGTGTGTACTGCCCCCTAGTGCCAGGTAATACACACTGCCACTTTAAAGCCAGAATTTCACCAGGATGTGTTTGGAAATAAAAAATTGAGTAACAAATATGCAAATCTTCAAATTTGCTAATTTATATTTTACCAGCCCCGCCTTTTGTCTAACTTTTTTGACACTTCTTGACTTCCGTACTCTAAAATTAAACATGTTCCAAACAGTTGAACTCTGACCAATCTTTTTACAAAATTGTCCCAAAACACAAAATACGTAAGAAAATATTTCAAATCCTTGGAGTTACTCACACATTGGTGGTAAAAATGCCGTAGAGCAGCTCCAGCTCAGGTAAGTAGAATGTGCCCTGCAGCTCGTTGTAGTTGAAGGGGATCTCTCCTGGTCTGGAGCAGTTCAGCCTGGCCTTCATGAAGGTGGTCCACGTGTCCTCCAGAAGAAAACGTCCACCAATGTCATTTTTACAAACTCGCCCTGCCCGGGAAAACACCGTTCTGCCACAGTCGTGCTCCACCGCGTTCTCCCGGAAGAAGAAGTAGGTGAAGTTACCAATATCATAGGAGGAGACAAAGTTAGGCTCTGTCAACGAAAAAAGAGAAGAAAAACGAAGGAGATTAAATAGGAGAAAAAATATCATAAAGGAAAAAAAAACATTACGACAGCCAGGAGAGAGATGAATTGCCAAAAAATTGAGAGAAATCTATTTAAGGCTATGGGAGTCAGAAAGAGTGGGAGAGCGATGGGTTGTGTGTTCTGACTGATTGACTCGTAGTGTGTGTGTGAGTGTGTGTGTGCAGCCCACACAACAGTAGGTGATCAGGATTAATACCTACAGGCTGTGTTATTAATGACATAGTGTTGGAGTGAGAAAGCTCATTTTTCACTCCCGAACCCAAAGGTTAGGGTGAGGAATGACCAAAACAGGTGTAGCGTAATAGCTCTAACCCCACCTGAAACACGCCACCTTCATGACACCGTCCCATCTAACATGCTCATCTTTATGTATGACATTATCGGATCTAAAACGCACACTTTATTCTCCTTGACAGTGCTTTAATTTGGTTTTAAATGAAAGCGTCCCCTCCACCTCCCTCATTTTAGCCCCCATAGTCTGCACCTTCAGAGGACAGCGCAGGAGGAGACGGAGGAAGAAAATCAATTCCCCATAAAATTAGTTATAAAAGCCTTCTCCCAGAAGGTGGCTGCCAAGCTATGTATGTATTAATGTATTTTTTTCAATTTAGCTTAAATGTGATTCGGGGGAAAAAGTCACTTGCTGACAAGATACTGATTGACCTGCTCGTCTGTAGGGTGGACATCTTAAGCTGTCTGAAGTTCTCCAATCTGCTCTAGAAGGCTCTAAGCTTTCTGGGGGGGGGGGGGGGGGAGGCATTGATTTTTTTGGAAACTTCACAGTAAAATTCTCCTTAAAGAAAGGTTAGGCATTATTTTTTATCACACAGAGATTTTCTATAGTTGCCAAGTAATTCTCTTCCCTTTTTTAAAACCCATGAAAGGCAATTGAAACAATTGTAAACAAAGGATGCTTTAGAAAATTTGCTGCACTGTGTCGTGCAGAGGAAAGGCGGCTTGTGGGAGAGTAAATTCCCTTGAAGGAAGGAAGGGAGTTTCTAATTCTCTTGTTGAAAAAGCATCCGTCACGTTGAAGCTTCCTTGAGTTGAAGTAACGATTCAAAGGTGGAAAGAAAAACTCATTCAGGATGTTTGTCTCAACTTAAAATGTGTTTTTGTCGTCTGTCGATTATTGAGCAAAGCATGGCAACAAATAAACATTTGTAGCTGCATGACACATTGCAAACATATTGTTATATCAACTTGTAACATGTTAAAGACCAAATTCACTTGTTACTTCAACACATATGCTGTGGTCTCTGGCATAAATGAATATCTGTGTGTGGGGAAAAGCTCTGGCACTCCTGTTTCAGGAACTAAATGTGAGTGAGATCAGAGGTGAGCTTCAGACGGCAGGATTTGGAGTCTCTTTTCCTGAAATTCAGACATCTCGCTTCTGATTGGCTAACAGCAACGCAACTCTACCACCGACACAGTTTGCACTGCAATGTTGATGTTTTAGCTCCACAAATAACACGAGCTGGAAGGAATTTTGCTGTGTGGTAGAGTTGCCATTACTGTTAGCTTCAGTCCAGGAATGCAAATTTTCAATCTGACGTGGAATCGATTGTCTTTTCTTATATGAACTACTTTGACCTCACCTGTTGTTGGTAACGTTTAGAAGTAACTAATTCCAGAGAAGATTATTTGACTTCTGACCAGATCAACAAGCCAATTGCTTCTTAAAGCTTTATTTTAGTGATGCACCGATATGAATTTTTTGGGCCGATACTGAAATCCGATATTTAGATCACTGTTATGGCCGATAACGGATATTTGCCAATACCGATAAACTGACATTACTGCTTCTAAAATCAGCAGATTTTGAGTAGAATGAAAATTATTAAAGCTGAATTTACGTTATGTACACACAGCACACACATTTACGGTTCTGAGATGATTTCCTTCACTGTTCACATGACTAAACAAATACACATCACCCCCATCACCCTCTGAAACAGGCAAACAAATGGAGACGAGGTGGAAAAATATTGGTTTTTAATATTGGCCTGGTTTTATTCATCAAACTGATACAGATATGTTAAAAAATGACTAACATCAGCCGATACCGATATTGATGCAGATATATTGCCTGTACTTTATTTCAACATTTTACTACATTTTATGCTAACTTTTATAAACCTTGACTGTACCATTAGTTTAATCTTTTTATCCTGGCAGAAATTTTACTATATTCTTGCTAGTGGCGACTAGGCTACACCGGAAGAGCTACAGCTAGTTAGCTGCTTCTGCTATTAGTGATTACAGATAACTATAAACATTGTTGTAAATAGATATATAAAGCAAAAATAATACAATGTAAAATTGAACAAAAAGGCCTGCCTCTGACTAGCCTTCAGCTCATCAATCCAGTCAGAACTCCTGACTCCTCAAAAACCACGACTGCGTTTAAAAATAACTCCTGTTTCAGTAAGTAGAAGTTAGTCTGAGAAGTCAGGGGGGGGGGGGGGGGTTGAAACTCACTAATCTTTATGATATTTGGACATCTCACTTCTGACTGACTCACTTCTGACTGACCAACAGCAACTCTTCTGCATTTGCTCGTCTTTCTTTGGCAAAATGCAACATTGATGTTTTATCTCCACAAACAACACAAGCCCAAACGTGCTCCGTCATGTTGTGGAGTTGCTAAAGCTAATGCTTCTATGTTCACTATGTGAAGTGCCTTGAGACGATTCTTGTCGTGATTTGGCACCATATAAATAAACTTGAATTGAATTCTAGTAGCCGAGACGTGCTCTGCTCTCTCCTGAACACTAAATCAACAGCCTTCCACAGTCTCAAGCCAAAATGGGTGAGTCCATGAAAGCTAATCTAAAGTGTGACGTAGATCTGTGTGGCTTTTTTTAGACACAAATGCTTCCCTGTTTTTTTATTTTAGTGGCTAATGCAGGAAATAGGGGTAGAGGACTATCATCACGTTCTGCATGCATGTGTAGCTCAGAGTGACCGATCATATTTGACCAAGTGTTATATTTTTCTACATAAACCTCAACATTAATGTGCATGAACATAAAGCATCAGAATGTCCTAAACTTTGTTTTTTTGCCTACCATTGAGCCACTTGGAGTTGTACTGGGCAGTGCGTAATGGGGGCATCCCACCCAGGCTGCGGTAGATGGCGGGGTCTCGCCCGGAGAAATCCATGGCCGTCGCAGCATAAAGCTCCCCGTTGGACGTGATAAGGGCGGTGGAGTTGTGCAGGGGATTGTAAGGACACCGAGCCATTCCACTGATCTGATCATGGATCTCTGTCAGGTTAGTCAGCTGCAATGAAAAGACATGGATGAAAGTGAGAAATTGAAAAATAAATCTGATCAATAACGAGCTAAATTTGCTTGACTGGACGAAGACATCGCCTTGATGCCACCAAGAAGAGATGATTGTGAGTGTTTGCAACAAGGGAATCTCATGAGATCAAGAACTAAAATAACACGACAAGCAACATGAACAAAAATGAGACCTGCTGTGTGTTTGTTGTTTAAACTCAGTGAAATTATATAGGACAACGTATCAAAGGGCAGCATTAAAATGCAAACCAGAGAAGCCTGGTAATGTTTTGTTTGTTCCAGCCAATATGCAAATGGTACAGACTAAAAAAAAAAGAAAGAAATCCTCTCATTATATTTTGTTTTGTTTACATCTACTGTCAAGTGCACAAAGATGTACAACCAAAAACTTCAGGAGCAAGAAACATAATCAGAGAAGGCATTTAGGATAATTAGCAACATAAAACACAAACACAGCAGCCTCTTTTGGAGTGATGTTCGGAAACCACCTGTTTGTCAGCAATAAAACTCATCTTGGCTCAAGTGTTTTGATGGTTTTGTTTCTGGTTCCTGTGCAGGACGACAAGCTGTTCTTTGAGTTAGAACATCATTACGCCGCTGCTTTGAGGAGCCTTTCAGAGCTCAAACAGGCTTGATGCAGGATGCAGCCTTCTGTTGCAAACCACCTTTGAATATAAAGCTGAATCCAATCCTCCGCTTTTTAAAAATACTTTACAGCTTGACCTTGGGTTAGCTCTGACACACTGCACTGGTTCCTACTTAAAACAAATACAGGCCATGGCTCAGTGACTCAGCCCTGAACACAAAAAAGGGAGTGTTGCAATTTTCTAATCTAACATGTAATTATATTATATGGCGCAAAAATGAACGCCACGTGGGGATTAGCTGATGTTTTGTGCTTTCATTTAAATTCTATAAAAATAGAAACGCAAAAGTCTGCACTGATCTCAGGTTTACAAATTCACGAATATTCATTAAATATTCTTGATGCAATTACTTTTCTATCAGTTGTGACTTCATGCGGTTTGCAGAGGATTTTAAGCTTCTAATGATTCAGAGCTCAATCTCTTCACTCTGCTCGTTTTCACTAATCTGCAGATTCCATTCCTTATTCCATATAGCAAGAGGGTCGGCCTCCATCCAAGCTGCATCCCCATACAGTTTCCTATAGATCCTGTCAGTCTGGATAAAAAATCCCTCCAACACAGCTCCACCTCTGCACCACCCAACCCACAACAACAACAGAGCAGCCCTGTCTTAGCTCTGCCAGGCTGAGATGAAAGCCCGGTATTGACAGCATTGATTCTGTTGGCAGGAATAGTCCTTTTAGGTCAATAGGGTCATTGAGAAAAACAAGAGGATGAGTGATAAATAGACTGCAGTCCACTCATTGCATTTTGAGGAAATGAAGTGAAAGTCATCTCTGTAGCAGAGCTACAGCTGCAGGAGTGGGACACTGGAGGGACTTTATAGAGACAATATTGAAAAGGAGGAAATGGTTCTAGGCTTAGAGCCAATCTATAGTGCCACTAAAAATTTTAACCACAAATTCTACAGGATATCTATTCAAACGTCTGTGTGGACAGATGTGGAATAATTGAATACCGAATGCCAAACAAATTATGTTTATCCTAAAATCATCTTTTACAAATTTCAGTTTATTCAAGCTGCCTTCTCAAGTCTAAACTTCAGAAAATAATACAGCAATGATTAAAATTAAGAAGCCAAGAACTGTTTTTTCTGTTCATAAATAAACCAGGAAGAGTGTGTTTCAATTACCCAACCAGCCAGCCAACCAACCATTTAACAAACTAAGCAACAGACCAAATAACCAGCCAGCCAGAAAGCAAGCCAGCCAATTGACAACCAACCAACCAGCCAGCCAATCAACCAAACAACAACCCAGCCAGACAGCCGGCCAACCAGCCAACAACCAACCAACCAATTGACAACCAACCAGCCTGCCAGCCAGCCAGCCAACCACCCAACCAACCAACAAGCCAGCCAGAAAACCGGCCAAATAGTCAACAACCAACCAACCAATAGACAACCAACCAGCCAGCCAACCAACCAACCAGCCAGCCAGCCAGCCAACCAACCAACCAGCCAGCCAGCCAGCCAGCCAACCAACCAACCAACCAACCAGCCAGCCAGCCAGCCAACAACCAACCAACCAACCAACCGACCGACCACCCAACAAACAAACAACCAGCCAGCCAGCCAATCAACAACCAACCAGCCAGCCAGCCAACCAACCAACAAGCCAGCTAGCTAGCCAACAACCAACGAACCAATAGGCAACCAACCAGCCAGCCAACAACCAACCAACCAGCCAGCCAATCAACAATCAATCAACCAGCCAGCCACCTAACCAACTTTAGTTTCAAAGCTCATATAAAACATATTTTGTCCACTAAAGTGCTGTACAGTAACAATAACACCACCAAACAGTTGGAGGAACAAAATTAAATAAATGGGATGTAGTCAAGTAATAAACACAACGTCAGCAGATTACATATTTAGCTACTTTAGAAAGTTTTAGAAGGCCATAAAGACCATAAAGTAGAGACTGTTTTTGCAACAACAAAAAAAGCTATTATTTGCTAGGAAATATTTTCTAGTAGCAAAGAAAATGTCATATCAGAAAGAAAACATCTTTGACAAACAAATAAATATTTATTAAAAATTAAATTTACTAAATTAGGTGATAATAAACTAATGAACAAATAATAGCCAGAATAGTTTCATTATAATAAATTCTGTCTTTAATAACTTTTAGACACATATTTTGTTTTGTTTGCACTGACTGGTCGGCAGTCGTGCATTATGGGTTGTGAATGATGTTGATTAGCTCGGTGTGTAAAGGAAAACAGATGCTGTCTGGTGCAATCAAACCATTTCAGAAAAAGGAAACATGATAAAATTGTATAATTAAGGAGAATCGGTCGACCGTCAGATGGTTAACAGCCATTTTATCTACAGCCTCATTTTTATAGTAAATGGTTCACACTTACATTGTACCTTGAAATGTTGTTTAGCATTCACAAAGCACTTTACAAGGTGTCCGATCCAGCTATTCACGCTCACAAACATCATGTCTTATTGTGTCATTTGCACTCCATTTAAATGCATTGCAATTGTCTGCTGAATAATTAATATTCCCATCATTCTCTACTTCTCATCACAGCTGATTGGACTTGTGTCCGGATTTAACATACTTGATGATTCTGTACACGACCTGAGTTCCACATTAACCAAGCGTCCAGCTTGTAAATATGACAGCTCCTGGTTGAAATACTGCTGTAATAATGTCGTGGCATTTCAACTATATGTATTTTCAGAGCAGTAAACAGTCGTTATGAGCCGCTGAACTTTGGAGGCAGCGCTTTTGGACCAAAACAAATATCATCAGAACGGTAAAGTCATGTGTCGCCTTCTTTTAAGAATGGATCCAACCGAGTGAAAAGCAGACACCGGACTTCAAATAATACTGCTGTATTTAAACATTGGTCAATACTTAAACGCTGGTGCTGTCAACTAGAGTAAATGCATGATTTGACCGAAAACATGGATATTAGCACAGTTCCAGTAAGTTATAAACTGAAAAAGGGGGTATTAAAATCCTCCGGAGAAAGAAAAAACAATTCAGAGTAAGAAATTGGACCCCAAATTCAAGAGACACAGAAGTAATAGTGGCCGAATTTAAGGAGCAAAATGTAAAAATTATGCAGTGAAACAACCACAAAACAGCCTGATGTCTCAAACATGTTGGAAGGAAGGTTACATAGAAGCAGATGTTTTTTTCAGCTGGCTGGCTTTACTAAACCAAAGCCAGTGAACAGGGGCGACCCAGAAGTTTTTTCTTGTACCCCTAAGAAGCCGCTGCATTTTTTATGTTATGTTATATAACATCAGGTGAAGAAGGCTGGAGGCTAACGTTGAGCTAACAATGCTAACACCTGGAATATACTTGCTTTTTAACCTCAGGTAGATGCGTGTAGCAGGCTGCATCTCTGTTTACATATTTGTCGCTGTACTGAACGTAGTACTGGAGATGTCCACTAGGGGGCACAGTAGAGAATTCATTTCAGCTAGAGTTCCGGGTTTGTGGGGAACAGTCAAAACAAACATGGCTTCAATAGATTAGTAACTGGATAATTTCAGAAGAAATAAAAGACAGCAGCGGTATCGTAGACCGTGTTAAAGTTGGAGTTACCATGGTAAGTGTGTATTGCTTGCTTTGACAACTCTGCCTACTGGTTACTTGTATATTGCAGTGTGCAAACATGTCGCCTTCATTTTGGGGGACCCACACAAACGACACTTCAAATCAACAAAAGTTAAGCGAGGCAGCCATTTTAAACACGCTTACACGTTGTTTAAAGCAAGTATATTCCAGGCCTAATGATGAATTTGAAGCAAATAGCCTGTTCCAAATATATCTCAAGGTACTTTTTCAATTACCAACAACTGGGTCTTACAGTGAAATGTATGTGGGAAGTGAATTTTGAGTCAACTGTGGTGTTTTACTTCCTTCAGGACTATACCAGCAATCTAACAGCAAGACAGTAAACAACCACACTTCCTCAAATGCAGGAGAAATATTACCGTAATAAGTTTAGTAAGTGCTCACTACTGTAAAACACCCAAGAGTGCTAACACCAAATATGACAATGTATTCATCTACTTATCTACCTACTGTGTATGGCTCGTCTTCGCTTGTCATATACTGTAGAATCTTCTGGCACTGCACCATAATAGCATAACTCTCAGAGAAGGGCAGTGAGAAAGTAACATTTTGCTTAGAAAAATAGACTGCACTAAACAAATGTTACCACAGGATGCCATTCTTACATAATGCACCTTTAAATGTGATACTGCACAAGGAATAGCAGCTAAAATATTTCAAGCACTTTTGAAGAAGGGTAAATCGGTTTTCCTTAGAGCCCAATGCCAGGATTATTAGGAGTAATGAGCTTAACACTTTGATTGGGATGCTAACAAGTTTGAGGTAACAAAATTCGCCAAATAAGGCCCCTAAATAGGATTCGTTTTATGATTAGTCTACCTCTCTGAGAGCGCAACAGGAGGCAGAAAGCCACATGACTTTGTACACCAAGAGCTGAGGTGTCGGTCTCACAACTCACCTTGATTAAATCAATCTGACCTTTACCTCAAAAACACTGTCAGTTCATTAAAAAGCAATTCAGTCTTCAAATAGTCTTTGTTTACATGTCTGACAAATAACTGTTATCCCTCACTAATTAGTTTTCCAAGCATGTTTTTGGTGTTAGAGGTTGACTAAAGCACCTGTCAGTTTCTATACAACTCAGCTTTGTGGATGTGAGGCAGCTGGTGGGCTGCTACAGCCTGCAGGGTCAAGTTGATTTTATGGAAAGCAACAACCAGAGGTGTTTAAAACTCTTTAATGAGTGGGATTCAGTCATTTTATTGTACCTGAAATTAAATTAAAATGGGCTAAAGTCTATATGTGATGTGTTCAAAAATCACTTTATCAAGTGTATTTGAAGACATTTTAGTTTCAGTAATTCACATTTTTTACTTTTACTCAGTCATATTCCTATATGATGTGCTCCATTTTCACTTAAGATGGGGCAGTTAAAGGAAATACAACACACTAATGGAGTCAACATGTTTTGCAGAAAGTTCTCGATCATTTGAGCTGAATCAAAGGTCAATAGGCTTCTCTACAAAAAAGAAGAATGAAGACAATTAGCTCCTGATTCCAAGAGATTTCTCACTTCAAAAGGAGAAATGGGAAGTCCCAAGATTGAGATGTAGCTAACAGCTGCACACAAAATCATATTAAAAAGGCCAATTTGTCTTCATTTAAACCAACAAGAATGACATTGTGTAGTGTAACCAGGCCATTATGTGACGTTAAAATTGTTAAATATTATTTAAAACATTCACTGTCATAGAGAAATGAATGGAGGGCCAAAAGTGCCACCATACAATATTTCTCTGTGAAATATTAACATGTGAAATAATGATGCAGCTTTAATTTATTATGTTTCTTAAATACAAATATTTAGTTTATGTATATATATATATATATATATATATATATATATATATATATATATATATATATATATATATATATATATATATATATATTAACATGTGAAATAATGATGCAGCTTTAATTTATTATGTTTCTTAAATACAAATATTTAGTTTATGTATATATATGTATATATATATATATATATATATATATATATATATATATATATATATATATATATATATATATATATATATATATATTAACATGTGAAATAATGATGCAGCTTTAATTTATTATGTTTTTTAAATACAAATATTTAGTTTATATATATATATATATATATATATATTTATATATGTGTGTATATATATATATATATATATATATATATATATATATATATATATATATGTGTATATATATATATATATATATTAGGGCTGCACGATATTAGGAAAACCTGTGATATGCGATAACAGTGATAAATATTGCGATGACGATATTATTTGCGATAAATAAAAATTTAACTCAGGAACAAAAAGAATCAAAAACAAAGAAAATAAAAAAATTACAAAAAAAATCATAAAAATGAGAAAAGCAAAAGATGTGAGGAAAGGGAAAAAGAAAATGAATAAGAAAAGGCAATCAGTGGATCCCGAGAAAAGCTGAATCAGCAGAAAGAGCTGAACTAAGCTAACTCAGGTGTTTGCTAACCATCAAAATTAAGTGCCATCCGCCTTGGGGGCGGGCATCTAACCTGTGACAACCCACCCAGTTGACCAAATAGGTGAAGAGCTCCATTTGATTTGTTAAAAAAACATCATGCTTCCGTTTGATGGACAGATTGCATTACGTGTAGTAAACATTTGAGCTGACCATTTATTGCGATATTTATCTGTTCTTTGCGATATGCATATTGCATATGCTGATATCGCGATAATGATATATTTGCGATATATTGTACAGCCCTAATATATATGTATGTATATATATATATATATATATATATATATATATATATATATATATATATATATATATATATATATATATACACACACACACACACACATATAAATATATATACACACATATAAATATATATACATATATATATATATATATATATATATATATATATATATATACATTTTTATTTTAGTATTTATATTTATTGTAAATGTATTTAAACATTTTATAAATGTTTCTGATTTGCATCACTCATCATAGGTGAATTTTATGTCATCCTTGCCAATTAATATGATAAATAATGATAAATGATATGCACATTGTGCTTACCGAGTCAGAGGACTCCAAAGCACTTTACACTAAAAGGAATCATTCATCCATTCACACACTGGTGGTGATGAGCTACGTTGATTGCTTTAGTCTGGCTGCATGGTGGCACAGTTGTTAGCACTGTTGCCTCGCAGCACGAAGGTTGCTGGTTCAAAACTCGACTGCGACCTTTCTGCGTGGAGTTGCGTGTTCTCCCCATGCATGCGTGGGTTTCCTCCGTGTACTCCGGTTTACCCCACAGATCACAACGTAACCTTTAGGTTATAAATTGTAAGTTGCTTTGGATAAAAGCGTCTGCCAAATGAATAAACATAAACAAAAACATAATCTGAATGGGTTTGTTTCAAACATGGCTGCTCCCTTGATAGAGGATTAGAGGAAGACATGGGGTGTTTCTCAATGCCAAGGAACCTTGCCTTGATGTCTTGGCTCCGCCCCGGTTGCCTAGGAGATACATCATCGGGAGCCGCCAAGATGTGTTCCAATGTTCATGTTCTACGGAGGCGTGTGTTCTCCGTTTGTTAGCCGTTTAGCCAGCTGAGCGAGGATACATGGGAGGTGTCTTGTTGCCTAGCCTTGGTCAAAAATTACCCAGAATACACCGCTGTATTTTCAAAAAGATGGCAGATCAGAAGATGGCAGATACTTCGGGGACAATTTTCAAATTTAAAAGTAAGTCAAGTAATTTCAAATGTTTTTTTTTACCAAAGAAGTTATCTATGATTGGTTAGTTGCTTAGTAGTTGCAGCTTCAGTGGCTAGCGGGTAGTAACTCACTTATATTTTTAATTTATTAAACATATACACAATTTAAAAAGTACGTTATGTGACCGCCGTGGAAGCCGCGGTCACGTGATGCTAGTCTGTTCCATTTAACCGTTTTCTTTGACCAAGGAAGGACAGTGTCCTCGTAAGCAAGGCGCCTAGACATTGAGAAACACCCATGGTCCTGCACTCCTCCATTATGGGATGTGGAACACACATGTCAACATATCCAGTTTTCTGGAAGAAAAAAAAAACTGTAGTCTGTCTGCTGCTGCGTCTGACATCTTTCTCCATCTGTCTCCTTTCCCTGATCCTCCTTCCCCATCTCTTTATATCTTTACAGAGTTCCTTTTTGGGAGTTGTTTTGTTGCTATAAATAACGTCCATCTAATCATTTTACACCCAAATGTTCTTGTGCAGGTTCCTGCCATAGCTGGAGCCTGTCTTACATACATTTATTCACCATGGACAGGTCTCTAGTCCATCACAGGTCCATAAAATCCAAATGGGCTTTGGGAGCAAAAAAAGAATTAAGGTCATGTACACATGTAGCCAGGTTTCAGTAAAACCGAATGTCCTCCCTAGCCCATCTAGAAAAAAAAAAACGTGGGTCCACACTGCCTTGATTTCAGCAAAGAAAATTTCAGTGCATCGTGAAGCACATTCATAGGCCTGTAGGTGGCAGTAAATACTCTACCATAAACGCTGATAAACATTCTTTGGAGGTGGCGAACAATAACCGTTCTTAACATTGCAGCTCAGTAAAACCTTGCAGTTGAATGTTTTGCACAAGTATTTATTTAAAATGTCATTCTGCCAGATGCCTCTGGCAGAATCAGACTTAACCAACTGCTCTTCATGCAGTTCAGACTTGAGCTGTGTTAAAAGTGATGTGAAAATCATACTCAATCCAACTTAGAGGGGCGAATGCTGGCAAATGTCACCAAAACAGCGACTGGAGCACTCACTCACTCGCGACACGGTAACTTGTAGCTGCTGTCGGATTAATGGAGAGCACCGCGTGTGTGAGAGGTTTTAAACTCAAACGTTCGTACCGTTCGGTTGGTGCAGATGGGGGTGAATGCGTTGGTTCCACAGGTAAACAGCCTGTTCCCATTTACCAACAGCACCCTGATGTAGTTCTGGCACTCCTCCTGTGGAAATACAACAACAAAAACACAGATTGCAGTTAGGAGCATTTCCATTATCTGTCCACTGGCAAGATGCAGCTTTGAGCAGAGGGGCCAAATTACACGTTATGCCAATAAATAAAAAAAGCACCTGGAACAACAGCAGGGCTGCGCCAAAGCGTGGCCAAGTTACCCAGAGTCAAATCAGGGCTAATGCCTACATGGCTTGGCTTTGTCACATCTTAATTCAGCCGGGACCAGAAGTGGAGAGGGATCTTAACACTGAGGAGACCTGATAGACGCAACAGGTGTGAGAAAGAGCCACTCAAGATTAGTTTAAATAACAGCCTCTGCTTTGTTGACCGGTCAGAAAGTGAAATGGAAATGTAGCGTCTCTCCAAATTCATTCAACCGTGTTTCTTTCTAGCCTCCTCCCACTCTCTAATCAATTCAAACCACTTTTCTCTAAATGAGGGTGAAGTACAGAGTCACCAGTCTTTTCTTGGTGTGTTAGTCCTCTCTTAGTGTCAAGAAAGAGAAAAAAATACACTCAGTGCTTGGTTAAAAGCTCTCGACAATTACTGACGGGGTGAACGATTGATTGAGTGATAGATTGGTGCTGAACTTCACCAGCTCTTCACAGAAAGGCCAAGCTTTCACGGGGGCTTGCCAGTGATTTCCATCAGCTTAAGTCGGTCGGCGTAAAGCTAGCTCGTCCTCAAGGTGTGATGCTTGTTTTCTGTCTCAGGACTCGAGAAGGTGTAGGGTCCTGTCCATGCAACGAGGGCCGAGGGTTGGTAAGGGCTTCTTGTTAAACTTTAAAAGCTTGTAAATCTGCTATTGTTTGAGGCTCTAAAGGTGCCCAGAGCAACATCTCCTCCCCCTCTGGAGGATCTGATTTAGGAGTGGAGTCTGTCCAAGCCAAGAGGGAAGGGGTTTTATATCCTCCCTGGCAAACCGAACAATGATGCGCAAAAATTACTTGTTTCCTGATCCTTTTTTTTTTTTTGCTTTTGAAACAATCTGTGTGTGCGAGTAACCGCATTTGTAATGTGTACCTGTGTAAAAGGGGTGTTTGTGCAGCCCGTCGTGCTCCATACACCCTAGGATAAATCTGTGGATGTATTGTTAAGGGTCCGCATAATTCAGTTCTTTTCCAGCGTTTGGCTCTCTGGTAAACAAAAGGTATATTTAATATTTACCCGACTTTGCTTTCTGACAAATTCCCCACGTCTGTACTGTAATACAGAAGCGCTGATATCATAAAACAAAACAGAAGCAGCAATCACGTCCTGTCATGGCGATTTAACTCTCCTTTCTTATCCCACTTGAAATAAATCAAATACCCAAGAGGAGAGCGGGTGTATTAGAAAAAAAAAATAGAGAAAGCAATCACGGGCAAATTCACTTAAAGCACGGGGATGGTATCTGTGTAATAGCTTAAGCTACGGCATATTGCTGCGCACTGAGCTAGGTAATAAACCATAGAAAGGCCTGTCAACTGCAGGAGGATGAGAAAGTCTTTTAATGCTATTCTTAGTGTACATCACAGCAGCTGATTCTCAGAGGGGAACACCGAGCTAAACAATACAGCTCCAGCAGACTGCAGCGACTCCCGAGGACCGAGGCAGCTTTGCTCTGTAATTCACTGCAGCTACCATGTGCTGGCCAGCCTGTGCAGGCCTATTATGGGTCTCTAACCACCCTTTCACCGGAGGATAAACACACACACACACACACACACAGAGAAAGAAAGCAGGGCTGGTCAGTTCACCTACAAGTCAAGTTCAGCTCCAAACCATCTGCTTTGTATACAACACAATGCCATCTCACCACATAGAATTAAACACCCTGCAAAGAAATAAACTGAAACAATAGGAACTCCCTTTCTACCACCACTATAAATGACGTTTTAAGTATAGACGGGGAATATCTGACTTCACAATCAGTTGATTTAAATCCACTTTGAGGTTAGAGTTGAATTCCCTTGTTGCCTTTATTGCAACCTTCCTCCAAGGCTACTCTGTGTCTTGTTTATTTTACAGTTAAGTCGTGACGTAATCTTCGAAATAGAAAAGGATGTGTATTTTTTTCTTTTTGCTAGACAGATTTTAGTTAAAGTAAATGATATTAATCAGCGCTGATGTGTCGGTGGGAGACTTCTACATCAGAGACCTTCGGTTCCATTTAAACACTATTTATTCATGTGTTATTCAGGAAAATACTGAATGATCAAGGGGCTTTGCAGATTTGCAGTTCAGAGAAAACTACTCAGCAATGGTGGAGCACCTGTTTATAATTATTATTTGAACTAACAAGGCTAAAACACTCTGGCTTTTAGATGCGGATGCAACAGCTTGAGGAAAAAGACCCACATCCTTGTATTATTTTTTTTTTTAAGTTGTTGAATAACTTGTCTAGCCTGATGACACATGCATGTTTGGTGCTAAATGGAAAAATACTGGAACCAAGTTGGCAAATTGATGTCTCCATTTGGATTCAGTCAATCGTGACTGAACCCTGAGGGCTTGAATTATAAAACTGGGACACGGGAGTTAAAATATGTTGCCATCTAACAGGCGTACAGAGAAAAATTCCTGAATTATGGGAAGAGCAGATTGTTTGAGAGGTCTTTCAGGGGTCATCACTCATGTTTCCACTATAGGAATTCGGTAAAATTTAGGGAGAGGGGACGGTGAGAGGGAAAATACGATGTCTCGGTCCTCTCAGCCATTGTTTCGCCAAACTAAATCGGCTTTGCTAAGACATCAGAATATCGCTACTGCTTCTGCAGTGAGTGATGTCACTGATCAGCATTAAAGGGAATTCATGGACATTAACAACATTAAAAGTTTTTGAAATACTGTTATAGTCGGCCGTTATATCAGAAAGTGGCATGAGTAGACAAGAATTCCTTTTCTGAGGTTTATTCAAACCTGCGTCACATGTAGCAGAATCAGGCATCCATCTTAACTCCTCTAAGCACTTCTTCTCCTCCTCTCCTACCAATGTTCTTCTCTCCTATACTGCCCCCTAGTGACAGACACAACAAGTACCACATAATGTGATCCATTTTAGGGACTAGCAGAGTAAACGTTTTCAATGACCAGCAGAAGAACAGGTTTTTACAGCACTCTGTGGTAGACCACAGAGCTGGATGAGTTCTGGCCATGTGAGATGATTTCTATAGGCTATATTCGGCATTGGGAGTTTAGAAACAATGACATTAAAGCAGCATCAAAGCAGCTTATTTTCTTATCCTTCTGTTCTGCTTCACCAACAACTTTTACAATTTTACAAATACTGTACTGGTTGTTTATCAACATCTGCCAATGTCGTTCCCTACTCAATTACAACCAATCAGCGTGAGTTAACCACAAGTCCCACCCAGCGACTCTGCTGGGCCACATTCAACTACATAGAACCTGGAAAATGGTTCTTACGGTCCATGATCCACGGTCCAATATAACGAAAACAAGAAGGTCCAGAAAAATTTCCCGGATGTTTCCAAAAAGGAAACGGCCAATGGTTGCCTTCCAATCTAAGATCACAAAGTGCAACTTGCACTGAAATATGTATGTTTTCACATTTATTGCCAAGACCAAACCTGGTTTTATTTTCTCAGTATGGTGGTAATGTGTCGAACAATGATTAACTCACCTCAGATTTCCCCCGACTGAAGCAGGCTCCCTTGGTGAACTCATCACAGTGCCACTCAGCCTCCTGCAAGGAGAGAAAAGAAAGACTTTAGGTCTAAAAAAAAACCTAAACATTGAACACTAAGTCCTATCAAAGCAGTCTGTAAACATATTTATGGGAAACAAACATAAATCTCAGATACCTTAATGACAAATTTGATTTGAAAAACTGATTTTTATGTCGATATTATTTAAGGTTGATTAGCAGTGGGAGTCATTTTAAATTAAGCTGATGCCAAAAGTTAATTAGTTATACGTTTCATCCCCAAAAGACCCCCTGAGACTTGTTTTCGTGATTTATGAGATACTTTGCCCTGGTAAAAATCTCCTCTTCCACATTGTTATGGTTATTTTTTTCTGCTGCTTGTTGACCAGATTTATGGAAAATGCCACAAAAAACTCAAATTTATTGAGAGAAACTGACTGACACCGACTTGGGTGAGAGGCACGGATTAAAGCAAAACCAACACTCGTACAAGTGCACACGCGTTCTGACCCGCGCTAAACACATACACAGAATCCAATTAAGGTGCATACCAAGCAGAGACCTGGAGAAATGAGAGGCGAGGGCGCGTGGAGCCACATGTCAGTTTGATTTATGTGTGAGGAAAAAGACTGAATCTTAAGACATAACAGGCAGCTCCCCTGAGTGGGACGTCAGTGTGATTTACATGTGAGGAAGAGAATCGGAGGGACCCTTTTTTTTACATTTTAAAACAGCAAGGAGAGAGAGAAGAAGAGCTTAAAGAAAATCTTCAAACAATAAAGTTTCTACCTTTTATTTCACCGTGACCTCTGAGACGAGGGGGGTCTTCGCCATTGATAAAAAAAAATCTCTGTGGGTGCAATGAGGGCTGTTCTTGGGAGGGCGCCGGGGCCACCGAGTCTTTCACCCCTGTGACAGTTACAATTAGCCATCACTGCCACCAGCTCTTTATGACTGGCAGGTAGGAGATTACTTAACAGAAAACGTGGCAGTAGAACCCTCTAGTCGCAAAAGGTCTCCAAAAGTAAAACTATTCAGATTATTTCCAGGCCAATAAGATACAACTTTTATGTGCTTAATAACCCAGAAAGAGTCCAGGGCATCAGTCTGTCAGAGAATTTCACATTTTACATTGGGAAGACTATTTTATTCCTTTTTTCTCTATCTTCTTCTTGGACAAAATTGAGGAAATTCATTGTGTGTTTCGTGACAGGCCTTCCCTTTCTGCCTCAGTGCCCTTTGGGAGGCATCTGTATGTACACAGTCACCCATAAACGCACAAGGAGGCATCAGCTTGAGCCGGTCCAGAGGGAGGAAGGAGCTCGGCGTGTGTGGTACCATTCAGGGAGGATGAGATATGGAGCACTAATGCTAGTTGGCTTGTCTGCGTCTCCCCTGTGTGTTTGGGCTGGTGTTCCAGACCAAAGCTGTCTATTCTGGGGCCATGCACGCAGACGCAATCCACACACATCAGCACAAGCTGCAAAGCCTGCACACGCAGCACCAAAGACGGCCCCAGCTGAATTCAATGTGGGCGCTAAAAGTGCTTTTGCTAATCACAGGGGGCGGAAGAACGCTAGTTAATGGCCTGAAACCTTGCTCGCTCATGTTCAATGTAAAAATCCATCATAATCCAAAGCAACATTATAACTTGAGATTGCGTTAATGAGAGAAAAGTGGCTGCTTTTGTTATTATGAGGTGATTATGTGATTTATCATCATTCAACACACTTTAGAGAACTCGCCCCACAGAATATAGCATATTTTTACTGTATCTTTAAGTTTTTAATCGCTGCTGGAGTATGTGATGCACGCAGGCCTGTAAATGAGGGATATGCCAGCATCATTGACCACAAATGCCACCTAATCTGACTTTCCTGGCTCAAATGGCCCAGAGTAAAGAACATAATCAAACTCACACAATGACTAGCTTCAGGTCATTAAGAAACATTAAAAGCTCATTAGCATGCTTTTGTTAAGGCTCCCATGCTCCTAAACAGAAGCTGAATGTGGAACGGGCTGTTGGTAAATCATAATAATTCTTGGTTTTATCAGAGAAAGCTGCTCAGCAGCTTTTTGTTGTAATCTAATGGAAAAAATAAACTGTAAAACAAAAAGGTAATGAAGGAGCAGGAACCAAATTTAGTTGTTACGTTTGTTGAGGTGTGAATGACCTCTAGAGGTTTACATTTTTAGCTACATTTGAGTGAATAAATGATTAATAGTACTTAATTTCTTCCTATGTTGCTTTTAAACACCCAGAATTTTAAACTTTGGCTGCTTTTGCACTCGTTTCTTTCCAGTTTTAGCCTGCCAAGCTATCCTATATATGTAAAAATATAGTCTGGCCACGACCCATTGACATAGCCCCGCTATAGGAGAGAAAGTATAATTACACAAATGGATGGCACTAGGACCAATCAAAGCAACATGACTTATTCAAACCAATGGAAATCAGTCAACGGAGCAGTCTGCCATGCACCACTGAAGAAGAAGTACCTCTATCTGACCATGTCTCAAACCAAAGCCCAAGTGTAAATCGTCCAAAGTTAACACCAAAGCCGTTTCAAACAAGCGTCGCTCCTGAGCCGCTGCCATCTTTAGCTTCTGCTATGGTTTGTCTAGGCTGGTCCAGTCCCTAAACCTGAGCACAACAGTTTAAGCGGGGTGCTTGAGAAGTGCCTGAATGTCATGTCGTGTCTTTGGTTAAGTAGGTGAAAATTGCATCTTCTGTCAGCTGATCATCTATTTTGAGCAAAATGTTATTTGGGAACCACTCTATAGGTATGTAATTTGTACTTTCTCCATCTGTCTAGCAGTCCTATCAGTCGTGTTCCAATAAACATAATTAGTGTCCTGATCAAAATGCACATGTCCCAAATCCAATCAGAGCTCATTTCAGACTTATTAGCTGCCAATACCAATTCTTTTTCCAATACTTGTTTAATTCTGACAGCACTTACTTGCAGTCTACATTCCACTTGTATGAAGACGATCACAGAGTGGAAAAGTACACAGATGTCTTAATATCACAAGTGGAGTTTATAAACGCCGTTGTTTGTGAACGCTCTTTATTGATCTGTGATTGGTACTTAAGAGTTACACACAACCATGATCTATTAACTACAGCTATTGAGTAGGGGTTGTATCAACTAGTAAACGTCACTGCTCTGTAGTGACATTTATGCCTTTCATAGACCAGCCGCTGTCACGTGATAATGACCGACAAGATGCAGTCCTCGGAAAAGACAGCAGGTGACAAGCCCCTGCGTGTTGGGAGGCAACGCGCTGTGCCAGAGCTTCGGTATATATATGCCCGCCGTGAAAGGGACATTTGACCGAATTGTGGCCTTTACCCTATTGCAATTTAACCTTCCCCTCACCCCCATCCTGACCTCAATCAGCTTGCGCATGCAAAGCTCTGATCATTGACACGCTCAAGAAATCTGCGTCCTGAGCACGGCCACAGTAACTTGTTCAAATTATGTGTCGCCACCTCAAAAACAAATTTAACATGCGATCGTTCATGTCGGCTCATTTTCTTTTATGTTTTCTGTCTTTTACTTGTGCCTGATGCGTTTCGCTGCTGTGGAGCAAAGCGCATCACCTGTTTTGTCCTCCGGTGACGCACCTCACCGGTGCGGCCGGCGCGCACCCCGCTGTTCTTGCGGTCGGTAGATCTTTTAGAACTGCAGTCCAAAGGTAACTCATAAGGTGAACATATATGAAGCCAGGCAGCAGTTTTTCTTTAGGATTGAGAGGAGATGCAGGAAGATAATAAACAGACAGGACAGAAAAATAGTCAAATAAAACAAGTTAGTTTTTGTACCTGCTGGTTGCAACAAACAGACACCATTGAAGGTAATCAGAAGTGAGGAACAGAAAATGAAATAATTATTTTAATGTTTAGAGCAGCAGGAACTCTGAGAGGCTGCAGGCGCATCAGTGAGTTTGCGGCCGCTGCGCAGGAGGAGGGGGGAGAGGGCTGAAGCAGAAACTACCGTTGTTAATAAAGATGTTTAACTTAGAAAATGTGGGCGCAATCTTAATTGTCAAAAACTCCAGCAAACCAACCCTCCCACCCCCACTCCGTGCGCTTCAGATGTGTGACGTCATCAACGACTAGTTGAAGTCGACTATTTTCATTACTTGACAGTAGACTTAAAAAAAATTAAGTCATGCAACCCCTACTAATGAGTGTGTCCAAACTGTGTTACAAACGTTTTTATTGACTCAGCTGAAGACAGAGATAGAGAGGGCTGTTCAAAATGATAACTGCTAATAAAGTGGCTGAAGATCCCGTTTACTTTTTTACTGGGTCACCTGTTATGTGTTGACTCGATACGCTGGTCTGAGTGTAAATGCTTCTTATGCCAGAATTCACAGGTCCGTGTCAAGTGGCTTAAGAATAGATTAATAAACACATTCATTTAGGTACTGACGTTCAAATAAAAGCTTTAAAACCTGGAGGACTTTTGATCAATACAACTTTAAAAGATTACAACAAATTGCTTCTCCTTGAAAAAAGAAAAGCTAAGAAGAAATGAGGGATGACTCAAATCTCTGGCACAGTGCCGTGTGTCTGTAACAACTTTTATTCTAATCACTGCCAGTAAAAAATTCCCTAATAAAGCTGTTTTTGAAGCTCGGGCCAGACGGACTGCGCTCATCTACCTTTAACAGTCGGAATATGGCACAAGTTTTTATTTATTAATTCATTTATTTATTTTCCATAGCCATGAATAAAAAATAAGGAAAACATTTTACTGATATTTGTTACAATTAACATTATGACCAACTGGTTGTGCTTTAATGTTGATTAATTTAGAAGAACAGGACGTAAGCTTGCCCTGAGGAAATGTCAATGCACAATCCGGTTCTTATTTATCTTGGGAACATGAAGGCAGAACAACCGTGGGATGTTTTTACACCACCTTCTAATATGACATCCAGCTTTGGTTGGTTAACTTTGATACAGGAGTTTGGGTAATAATTCCTCACTTTTCCTCTTCTCCCACCTGCTTGGCCGCCTGCGGGGT